AGAGAGAGAGAGAGAGAGAGAGAGAGAGAGAGAAAGAGAGAGATGCATGTGTGTTACGCGTGCTTATTGTTGAATGATTGTATTGTATTTTTAAAGAACTTTCACCCCATTCATTATAATAACTAATTTGTGCTTCATCATTCAACACAAAGCCTTGCGTTGCAGGAGTGCGCAAAAAAAACAAACACCGTTCAAACACTGTCACCATGATAAGGACTTTCTGCCCGCTCTCTTTGGGAACAACTCTCTTTGTATTTTGAACTTCAGACTTGTTACTAAATTTCTAAATTTCGTGGACGTCTGGACTTTGTGCTCCAACTGTCGGAGGTACGACAGCTTTACGAATGACCAGAAAGAATAATTATGGTGTTTTGCATTGTTTATCCATTGGTTTGTCATGAACGTATTGTCGAGTCTGAAGGGACGACCTGTAACCATGAAATGATATGTTGGAACCTGATGCTTGAAACGCCTGGTATGGGTAACTGACCTAGTTAGGTTCATGCTCGTGCCTGTTTTCGTACCAGAAATTAGGTAGTCCCAATTCCAATACTGGTTGCGATAAACGTTTGGGTTAGAAAGGTAACGATCTCCCGAAAGTTTCTTTTTTTTTTTGGGGGGGGGGGGGTATAACTTGGTTAAGTTAGACAGAAGGTAATTCAAACCATCAATATAGACGTAACTATAGGTGGTTCGGGCGTCTGGTGTGGTTTGCTCTTTCTTTCCTGTCAGACATCTGTTTTCGTTATCTCTCCTTCTTTATTGTGTTTGTTACTGTCTTGTAACACCTCTAATCTGCGGCACTTATATGACCTACTTGCGCTGTAAGTGCCCTGAAACTCTTATCAAAACCAAAGAGGCGTGATGATCAATGTCTGGTCTCTCTGAAAGGGAGCATGGGGCGCTGTATAAGTCCCACGAAGATTCTGAATTGCAAACAGGAGTATACTTTTTTGCAAGTTGTCCCTAAATAACAAAGAGGTCTGCAAATGTATTAGATGTCGCTTAAAGGACACAGACACACAAACAAACGCAAATACACACACAAACACACACACATAAACACACTCACTCACTCACTCACACATACACACACACACACACACACACACACACACACACACACACACACACACACACACACACACACGTACACACGCGCGCGCACGCACACATACACGCACACGCACAAGCAAAAACAAAAACAAAACCATGACTAGATGTCAAAGGATGGGGCAAATGCCCCAGAAAAGTAGTCTACTGAGCGGAGCCAAAATGACCCCCCCCCCCCCCAATATACACACCCCAGGAAGGGCGACAAAATAACAACTTGCGTGTATTTTTATGAACGTAAAACAATCTGAGTACTTCATGATAACTGGAATTGGAACGTCTCCCCACTCCCCTACCCTCGAGAAAGTAGAAGCACTTGACATAAGTCCAGACATAATTTGTGAATGTAACCTACTTATTCAGACCATAATTAAAACGTTCTTGTTAGAAATGCCTAAGAAGAAGGTGACGAAAACAATGACTTTATTGGGTGTTGGAATTATAATTATACTACCGGTAGTTTACATTTGTACACAACTTACTGTGGCCGCAATGTTATCATCGAATGAATGTGTCCCTACTTATTAAACCCTCTTATCCTTGACCACACAGCAATTAAAAATTTTATACAACGGGAGTCAAAGATTGTAACACACAAGTCTCAGCGACTCCAAATTGTACAAATAATTTTTAAAGTAGGCCTACGTGTGCTATTCCATCCCCCTAAGATTGTATGTGTTCCAAGTTAGAAGGAAATGGCATCGTTATACATGTATTGTGAGGACTTATTAAAATGGGACGCCTAATAAAGCTGTTCGGCAATTTTCATGTCGATTATAATTAATAATTGGGAAGGTATTTAATTAGGAGTCGAAACACACTGTCCCAGACAGAAATACAGACACATAAAGGTTAAAACTGGTCTGGCCAGAGGCGTCCCTCCAACAAACCAACAAATAAACAAACATACCAACAAACAACATGTTTTGCTCTATTTAACGAGATCAATCGATTCTCTGATCTGTCGAAGGCATAGGCTAAGCTGTGCCGTGCAGTATGTCCTTGTCTGAGCAGAGAACACTCTACAAAAAAGTCGTTTACGACAGAATCGGTCCAGCTGAACCTGCCTTGTCTTGGAAGAGCGCGCAGAGTGCTGGTTATGAAAACACTGGCCATTAGAAATGCCTGTAGGCCTATTCGATTTATGAAACGCTGCTTCTGTTTGCTGCAACTAGTGCTGCTGCAGCTGTTGATGGTGCTGGCGTTGACGACAGTAAATACGATGATGATGATGATGATGATGATGATGATGATGATGATGATGATGATGATGATGATGATGATGATGATGATGATCAGAAATTAGATCATATGGCCAGTGGATTGATGTCTTGACACTCAAATAAATGTGGAGTATTCCGTAACTAGATCTAATTTTGTTTTCAATTCAGCACGCACCTGTCGACACGATTTAGATCGTTAAGGTGGCGGGTTGCATCGACTCTCCCTGACCCTATGAGCTGCGTGTCGGCCAGAAGGCAGAAATAATTTTAATAGAAGGCCATCTTCACGTCGGGATCAAGCTCACAGCTTTCAGCATACAAAACAAAACGAAGAACATCTTTTTTAAATTTAAAGGACAATAAAAATAAAACCTCAGATTTTATGGTTGACAAAGAAAACTTATATTTACACCACACAAATTCGATGGTAAATGCACAATAATTACGAAGTCCGATTTTTCATTTGATTTATGATTTCGTATCTCTGCACAAATCTGATTCTCATGCCATCTTGGAAAAAGGAAATGATTTGAACATTTTGCAGACACGTAGCTAAAATCTGAGGGCTTTTCATTTGTTAGGGCCTCAGAATAGGACAGTTACACGACATATTATGACCACAAAAGGGAATTAACAATCTTTTTTACTATTATGTAACCTTTGATGCAGGTTTGTTGAATGTGTGCGATCAAAAATCGTGTGGGTTAGTTTCTGGGACGATTCTTTTACTTTCTATCTGAGTATGACATGCAAACCCTGAACTGTGTACATTGGTCTCTAAAATACATTTCCGTGATAAAAGAAGAGGGATCCCGGGTCAAGTTAAGTAGAGGTAAAAACCAAAGCTCAAGACTGTGTCGTCCAGATACATATTTTGGGGGGTCCGAAAATTAGATCTAAATGTTTGGAAAGCGTATAAAAAATTTGAAGGGTGAAAGTTGAGTCATGAACCAGAGGAATGCAACAGGTAGATCTAGCTTATCAGTGCCGTCTAAAATTGACCGCGTTTCTTATCTCTGTCTGACCTGTTTTCCCCCCCTCCATTTCGCCTTTCATAAACTTATCTTAAAAGAAGTAAAACTGGAATGATCAACGTTGGGCTGTGACCTTACGTGTCCAAAAGTATAAATACGCTGGGTTTTGGCGAATTGCACAATAAAGCCCTTTTCTCACAGGGAAGAGAAAGAGAAGCAAAACATAGGCCTAAGGGATAAGACAGCGGCGTCTGAACTAGGAGGTGCAGCTACCAAACAGGGACAACTCTGAGCAGGAACAAAAGGGACTGTAAACGACTGCACGTTTGCAGGCACTGATAGTCCATACTAATATAAACGGTGAGTTTTTACTTCTCAAAAAGAAAAAAAAAGGTAGAGATGTAGTTCTCTTCACGTGATCTATCTTCAAAGCTTCAAAAGGAAGCCTGTTTATTTTCTAAAAGGACAGGGATAATAAATGCTAAATTTCATGGTTGAGAAATAAACGATTTAATAAATGGAGAGATGAAAAGCAAGGAGATGATAAATGGATTCACAACTAATCAAGGGTTGGGCAACATATAAAAAATATGTAAATAAGGCTTTGAAGATTTTTCATCATTTGAGTCTATCGCGTCTGTGTCTGTGGTGTAATCTATTTATGTGGAGTGGAGAGGCTTGTATTGCGGCTCTTTGCCATGAGACTAACTTAACCTACAACGCATTGTCAGCAAATAATTTCATCTATTGTGTCAACTTTGGATCGAGAGAGGGCAGATGTGTGGGTGAAGCAAGGGAAACTCCCCGAATTTTTATATGACATTTCTTTACGTTTTCCCCGAGAAGGGATATGAATTTTCATACTGCGTCCTTCTAAACATGCAAGAGCATGTTTTAAGAGCGATTAAATGAGGGTTATTAAAAGAAAAATGATATTTTGATATAACCTAGTAGATAGTAGCACCAAGAAGAGGAAGAAAGAAAAACGCGCCACAGTCTGTTAATCAACTGTACTCTTGGTATGATCAGAAGGCATTATTATTAAAGATTTATTTTGTTCAATGTTCACTAGTTACTCATTGAATTACTTTTATCCCCAATGACGTTATTGCGTCTTCAACATTGAAGATATAATCTATGTGTGAAAAAAACATCACAAGAACTTGGGTAATTTTTTATAACGTTTTATTCCACAAAACTTCGCTTACTCTTTTGAGAAGAAGACTTTTCAAAGACTTAATATGTAAGATCATCTCCATTACACTTTTAATGCTCTGTAAGGCAACATGATAGAAGTGTTCATTTACAATTACACCAGTATTATAATACACATGAAAATTTCAAAAAAGCTTTCTGTAGTTTCTGAAGAATTTCCTACCAACTGAAAAAGTTTAGTGTGTCCCGCGCGCTCATATGACCTTATGCAGTTGCGAGCGCCGTAAAACACTTACAAAAACAAACAAAAAACAAAGTTTCTGAAGCTTTACATTTTCTCATAGGGTTGTGGAAGATGTCGCCGAGACGACCAGATAAAGGGTGGACTTTCGCCTTTGTCCTGTGTTCAGTGTGTGTACACATGGCCGCCACCAAACTCGGCTCACTCCGAGGTATCGGCTACATGACAGTCACCACTGACGACCTCGAGCTGAGCACCAAGTTCTATACAGAGGTTTGTTACGTTTGTTTGTTACTGTCTCCTTGGTTCTGACTGTGTCTCCCTGTGTCGCCCCTGTCTGTCTGTCTGTCTGTCTGTCTGTCTGTCTGTCTGTCTGTCTGTCTGTCTGTCTGTCGGTCGGTCTGTCTGTCTGTCTGCCTGTCTGTCTGTCTGTTTGTCTGTCTGTCTGTCTGTCGTTTTTATGATGACCGTGCTGTGTACATATTTATACGTGTATGTGAGAGAAAGAGCAAGGAAAATAAAGAAGTGGTTGACATGGGGATAGATAGATAGATAGATAGATAGATAGATAGATAGATAGATAGATAGATAGAT